AACGAATAAAATATCATTATGCACCTTATACAATATATTTGTTATAAGCCTAAGGGCAATACCTCTATATAATATAATAATAGTTATTAACTAAGTGAGTGTTGTTAATATAAAGCAAAGAATCCAAGAATTATCAACGAAGAGAAGAACAGATATATCAAGGAAAGATATTATTGCTTGTCTCTATCTATTAACAGGAACTTAGAAACATTACAGCCAGTCCTGAGCAACAATTAAAAGCATTCTTGCTCGAGTATGTGAATCGCAATCTCTTAATAATATTCCTCATCCTGCTTGTCCTTGTCTCCTTACTCAGTAACAGTATTGTTCAGTCATTTAAGCAGTCAAGCCAAATTGAAAAATCACCAGATTGGACTTGTGGGATAAATTCGTGTCTGCCATATCACTTTCTACAGGTAACGAAAAAACCCTCAAAGTTTCGTACTCTACTAAGTGCCTGTACTACTATGACTACCTCCAGGCTGAGTGATAGAACATTATTTCAGCTAACTAACTTGCAATGGTAAATAGAGTACTCAGAGAAACCAATATCAAATAATAGCTAGCCAAATCAAGACCCAAACTCAAACCTGAGCATGTTGTTAAGAGATGGAAATGGGCAACTGCTCATAAGGATTGGACTACTGAGGATTTTAAAAAAGTTATTTGAAGTAATAAATGTAGCATAGAGAAATTCAAGAATCCAAGACAACAACAGGTTTTCGGAGAGCCTGAAGAGAGTGGCTGGTTGAGTGTATTTATTCAAAAAGGAAGGATAAGAGAATTTTACTAATGGTTTGGGGGTACTTTTGGGGTAAGAGTAAAGATTCTTTAGTTCCTATTACTCAAAATATCAATAAGACTAGGTATATTAAACTTTTAAGAAAACTTCTTTTTTCTGTTATTCATGAAATGGTTTTCTTGGATATATAACTTGAAGATATTCTTTTTTAGCAGGATAATACTCCTGTTCATTAGGTATATGGTATCATGGATTAGCTTGAGAGAAATTGTATTTAAATTAAGGAGCACTTCCCATCTTCTCCTGACTTGAATCCTATTGAGCATGTATAAGTTGAGCTTAAAAAGCGATTACACCAACAGTATCTAAGAATTGGAGATATCCCAGGAGGAAAAGAAACTGTTAGAGAAGCCTTGTACATGTATTACTACTGGTTTGTGAGATAATTCCTGAGGGTTTTTTTAAGAAGTTGAGGAAATTAATATCAGATGAGGTAACTGCAGTTTTGGAGGTAAGGGGAGGATATACAAAGTACTAGCTAGTAATATTTCTATTTCTATTATACAATTTATTATAAGATATTGTGGATGATCAGTTAGTTGATCACTATGGTTGATTGTTCACTTGTTTATATGCACGATTACTGGGTGCAACCCCACCATACTATGATCCTATCACCAATTAAACAGGTCTCAAATTACAAACACTTATGACTAGTGGCTGTACCAGAGGTTTGATAAAAATCGAGTTTGCTTCTAAAAGAAGATGTGACATTTATATGTAGAGTAAACCAGTTTAGGAAATTTGAGTAAGAGTAAGTGAGAATTTTTTAGTGTCAGCAAATAGTGGGATTTACTTCTGAAATGGAAGACCTGCGAGTAATATCTTATAAGTACAATAGGTAAAGAAAAGAAGTCTAGATGCATAAATTAAATTACAAATATCCATGTCGAGTTGGCCTTTCTTCTGCCTTGATAATAGCTTATGGGTGCTGTGACATGCTTCTGATAAGTGCCTCAAGCCTCTCATCTGAGATGGCATTCTAAACTGTATTAAGAGTAGCTTCTAGTATGGGTATATTGCTGATTCTTCCTCAAGTTTCTTCCATGTAACCGGTACAGGTACTTGGTTATTGGTTTTGTATTATGTTTCGTTTTAAGTATCGCTTTGATACTTGGTTTGTTTAAAGTATCATATGATACTTTGTTTTATGTTTTATTTTAAGTATCGTTTTGATACTTATGTTATTTTATCAAAGTGTATTGTTTGATAACCTTGAGGAATTTCGTTCATATTAAACATGAACAGATTTGTGTATTTAAAGACTGCCTAATTCTACAATGGAAAAGGCAGACTTAGACAGACAGTATTTCAATATACTTAGTTGAACGGTTACTCTTTGTTTTCTCAGAACATTTTCAAAACCTCCATTAGTTACAGCTCTAGCCTCCTCTTTGGTAGAGCAGGACACCAGTTAAATTATCGTACATTTATCTGAAATGTAATTAGCACCTTGCGAATACATTACATCCTAGCTCATTTTCAAGATCCAACTATAGAGCTTTAATGTAATTCAAATCTGGTAATTGAGCTGGCGACTGTGTAGTCTCAACTTTATTAAGATTTCTGTAGTATGTCATGAAACTCTTTTGCCCGAGTATGCCATCTTCCACAACAGTAGTCCACTTATATATCTCACAATAGTAATACCAAAAGGATATAAGCTGTAGGTACATGACTTGCTTAACATATTCAGTAGAGTCTACCTTGGCCTTACTTGAAATGAATACAAGTTTAGACCTTATAGTTTTACAAAATCTAGCCTAAACAATTTTTAATTGATGATTAGACTAAAAGATCTGGTTAATACAATTCTCATAGAACTTCTCACTTGCTATCCTTGTAACCCATGGACGATTTCCAAATCCAGCCATAGAAAAAATAGACTCATCCATTCAGAGAATACAGAGCCAGTCTTGATAGCTCCAGTCCAAGCATTTGCAGTACTATACCATGCATAAAGAACAGTTGGCTGGATGAATTTCAAACTTTCATCATGGTACTTGGCGGTGATATCCTAGAGATTCCATCACACTCCTTACAGTGCATAGACTGTATATGTAGTCTATCTCAGGGCATACCTCATCCGAACTAAGCTGTTATGTTTTGGCATCACATGTAACGTGTTTGCAAGGTGCTAATCACGTTATCGGTAAAGGATACGATAGTTGGCAGGTGGCCTGCTCTTCCAGAGAGGAGGTGAGAGCTGAGAACTAAAGGAGGCTCCGAGGGTGTACTGAGAAACAAAGAAGTAACCATTCAACCAAGTATATTGAAATACTGTCTGTCGAAGTCTGCCTTTTCTATCATAGAAACAGGCGGTCTTTAAATACACAAATCTGTTCATGTCCAGCATGAACGAAACTAATCAAAGGTATCAATCGATACACTTTGGTAAAACTCCTTAAGTATCAAAACGATACTTAAAACAAAACATAAAACAAAACCAAGTATCAAACGATACTTAAAACAAACCAAGTATCAAACGATACTTAAAACAAACCAAGTATCAAACCGATACTTAAAACAAAACATAAAACAAAACCAAGTATCAAACGATACTTAAAACAAACCAAGTATCAAAGCGATACTTAAAACAAAACATAAAACAAAACCAAGTATCAAACGATACTTAAAACAAAACATATAACTGAGTACCCGTACCGGTTATATCACATGTTTCATAAGCTTCCAAATACTTCCTTTCAGTATCATTGAATATGGGCAGGTGGCTGATATGATGTGCATTTGATAAGGTGCAACTTTATTTTACTCGTTTGTAGATCTGGTAACAAATATATTAATTCCTATGCTATGATGATAATCGAAGAATATGCTTACACAATAGCAGGTTTGTCAATTTATATTCAAGCGTTGACCTATTTGGGTCCAATTCTACCCAGCCTCATCACAGAGGGTAATTACCTTCATGTGCTCATCTTGTGTGGGTTTACAATGTTGGATTCCTTGTAGATTTCATTCATGTATTCCTTTAAGCTGCATGATTTTTGCATTTGTATTCAGTTTTTGGGGTAGAACTGGCACAATGTAGGAGTGTGATATGATATTGTCTACTTACTTGGGGAATAAATAGGGGACTGTTAATAAGCAAGAGAATACTTGTTTAACTGAACACAAAATACTCTTACACCCAAGTACATATAACATCTGCTTCCTTACTCTTATACCTTTATTCTTCTTGACTAGTAGTGGATTGTGGAGCATTCAGTATTTGATAATAGCAACCTACATGTTAGTTTTATTATTTCCATTCCTATTTTAATTATTTCCTAGTTGTTTCTCAACAATATTGATATTATAGCATAAGCTTACCTCTTTGTTTCATTACATTTACTGGCATTTTTCTTTCATTGCTGTTATGTATATTAAGAGCTGTTTCACAAGAAAAATAGCTTGTATGTAACAAGATGATTTCTACATGGATTTGATTGAAGGGCTATGATTGGTGCCTATTCCGGATACTTTGAATTTGGAGAGTAGAAAATTTAATGGTCTTAGAGTTTCTTGTTTTCTTTTTTCATATTCAGATTCTGTACAATTCCTGCTGGACATGTCCTATTGGGCGTGAACCTCCGACGATTTATCTACAAACCTCATGGCAATATCATCTTAACTCTCTTTCTCTCAACCATACACTCTGTCTGCTACATCCACTCCAACAACTTTCTCTTTCTTTTTACTTTTAGATTCTTGTTCGGCGTTGTGAGCTTCGTGAGCTGTAGGTATATGAGACGAGGGCTTGTAGGGTCTAAGTGGTCAGCGTATATACTTGGACTTCTTTGCCTTTAAGTTTTTGGCCTTTTTTCTTTGCCGGTATGGATACTTGAACTCGAGAATCTTTCACCTACGTTGTTTCTGGAAATCTGATATCACGTGCCCCCTCATCGTATTATTCAGCATGTCTCGGACCCCTATAGTCGGCATAACATTTTCCACTGTCGCACCAGTCAAGGAAATAATCGGCCTGAACTTTGGCATGGTTATTAAGCCCCTTCATTTCCTTTCAACACAAACTGTGCCAATTATTTGGGATTCCGCCGTTGTGAGCCCCAATGCTTTCCAAGAGTTGAAGATCAAAACCTAGGTTACCCGGCGTTTATATTACTAAACCCTATCACATTCCGGGGATATAGGGATGCTGTTGCCGAAGAGACATGGGGACAACAAACACCCCACGCAAGCTTTTCCTTCCTTCTTTTCTTTCCGTTTGTCTCATTTCACGATATCTCCTTCTTGAAAATGGCGGAGATACTACCGGTCCAGGTTGACGAGTCGAAGAGTAGGACTGACGGGGGCAAGAAGAAGAAGGCGATTCCGAAGGGAGTGGTGTTGGACAAAGACGGTAAACCGTGAGTTCCTCCCGCTTACGCTTAACTCATCGCATATAAATTGCGGTGCATAATATTGACAATTGGAACCTAGCTGCCGCTCATGCACTAGCTTCCGCGACTGGGCCGCAATGACTAGGAAGAAAATCACTCCGCCTCAATCCAAAGAACCCTCGTCAACAACCGCAACTGCAACTGCAACCTCCCTTCCGCCGGACTGCCCCCCGGACGTCGAAACTCTCGGCCGCTCAACGTGGACCCTCCTACACACTATCGCGGCAACCTACCCTACCACTGCGCCCCGGGAAAAACAGGACGAGATGAAGACCTTCATGAACATATTTTCGCGGGTATATCCGTGCTGGGTGTGCGCCGAAGATTTCCAGCGCTGGATCGAGCGCCCGGAGAATAAGCTTGTGCCTGGCCGAGAGGAGGGACACCTCGGCGGGAGGGCGAGCTTGGAACAATGGATGTGCGGGGCGCATAATGAGGTTAACAGGAAGCTGGGGAAGAGTGAGTTTGATTGTCGGAGGTATGAGGAACGCTGGAGAACCGGATGGGCAGATGGGAGGTGTGATTAGATCACGTTAGTTTAGGGAGGAAAGAACTTGTAGGAGGGGGTGGATTATGGGGTGCGCCGGTAGTTGCGGATATCGTGATATTGATTGTTGCGTAAAACACTGGTGAAACCCAGCACCACTATCTATCCAGAAATGCGAAATGCGAAATGCGAAATGCGAAGCCGGGCGAGTGAGAGGGAATGACCGCCAAATGAAAGGTATACCTCCTAACGTAGGGGCAAAGGGGAGGAGAAAACTATAACTCCACTAGCACCACCGTGATTTCTCCTTTACTCCCCTTTACCTCCCCAGATCCAGACCCAAGAGAACACTTTCCACTCTCCTTCCCTCTTTCTACCGGTATTCACTCTCTTCTACTCTGCTTTACTCTGCTCTACCACATCACCCCCACCCTTCCTACCACTGCGACCGCGCTCACCTCGCTTAACCAAACCAAAACCTATGGTGTGGGTCGTAGATCCCTCCCTCGGTCCACGCCCCCCTCCATTCCGTGGGGGTTCCTACGCACCCGATCCTAGATAACTACTCTACCGGTAGTTGGCTGGGCAGTTGGAAGTCTAGCCTCGACCGCCGGCGAAACGCGTAAATCCCCCTCTGTCCGATTCATTCAAGTTGGAAACCGGGCTGTTCTAGCGGGGTGGGTGCAAAGGCACTCTACCCTTCCATTAAATACATTATTATCCTGCCCAGGCCGAGGCCGGATGAATTGTTTAGCCAGGAGGATGGCGAGGGAAGTGCGGAACCGCGTAAATGGAGGGCACTTGTTGGATCCTAAAGTATCTGGAAATAAAAATCCCACGAACTTGTGTTTTATGCCCGGCTTCGAAACCATTAGCACCTTTATCTCATGCTATGATACTTTACGAATTGGTGAGTAACTGTACGGGGTTGCAAGTAGGGGGTTTTCAGGGACTGAGTGCTTTTGATATCGTATGGTGGGAGGGAAGGGGTTTTGGTGGTGGTGATGATGTTCCGACTTAACTCAGCTTTGTTCGGTGTAACCAAAGCATAGGAGAATATAATATCATACCGCACACCGAACCCCCGCGGCCTTCCACTTCATCTTACTTCAACGCATCTAAGACGTTGCAATTACCTCCTCTCTACATTCTTTCCTCTTCCCTCACGCAACCACCCACCGGCCGGCTCTTCCGGCCAAGTACCGTATCGTACACAGCACCCAATCCAACCCGTCCAACAGCTAAGAGTATGCGGTGTACTTTTGATCAGTGCGCGCGTAGAATGTCTTGCTCTTCGGCGTCATAGCCGATCACTCTCGAGTAAGCTGCTTGCTTTTGCCTTTGAGATGGATGATTCTCCATACGGTGAGGGGCATGGTGCTGTGCTTGAGCGGTGAGTTTAGTGGGTGGCGATGGTGTTGGAGTGTTGAGCTGTCGTGATGTTTTTTTTGTACGGGGCGATAGGAGTGTGAGGGCTCGTATTGTGGGTTGGTAAATAGGTTGCATGATGACTGTGAAAATGCGGGATGCAAGGCTATCTTGGGGCCTCAGTGCCAACGGTAGAGATGGTTTGGGGGGCGCCGAGCTGAGCTGATTCTGCAGCTAGAGATAAAGCAGGATACCAACAGTGACTTCGGGAGGGCCGGAGCTTAGTCCGATAAGCATGCTGGTAGTTTTCGGAATAATAGATCTGTGATTGAATGTCTCGTTGCGGCGGGAGTGGTGATGACTTGTCGTGGGGGGGGGGTAAATCCCGTGAGTTGGTTGGTTTTCTGCTCTTGAGTACGTATTCTTATTCGGTATGTATCGTCCATGCGGGCAAGGTTGCCGATTAGTGATTTGAGGAGTCCACAAAAGTGGCAAATGTCTAATGGCGTTTCGCAAGTCTTAATGCATTTGTTGAGGTAGATATTTGTTTCAGGGAAGAAGGGCTGGGATTGAATAACTTGGGGTGGAACAAGCTGCTTTGTTGCGGACGTTAAAATGTACGACTATTGATCAAGTACACCAGGGCGGTATTGGTGGGGAAATAAACATCCATGCTATATCATACTCCCAGTGGCAATCCATCATAGAGAGTGGCACAGCTAGTGAGCCTGCTTATGAGACACATTCTCCCCAAATACCACGTACTTGCTTACTAACTATACTGCATGCCAAAACCTTCCACCTTCCACGATCACCCACAACACAGCCTACTAAAGCCAAACCAGAGCTCCTTGACACTCAAACTCGGATATGATACTTTAGGGTATTGGTGTTCATCTTAACTTGCCTTCCACCCAACACACCCAAGCCATCTTCCAAACTCATCTATCTATTCCGAACTCTGAGCTAAAAAGATCCCGGATCACAGTTCATCACCCGAAAAATCTCCATCGAACTGGGCGCCAACACGGTGCAACTTGTAGCAAAGCTATGACAGTAGATGGACACAAAAAAGATTATTCCTCAAAGACATTTTCCATAAGGGGTTAGAGAAGGAGCAGGAAATGGCACGAGTGAGACCAGCTATCTAGCGTGTTTCAGGGCTTCCAGTACACCATCTATGGATTACTGATAGAACGGAATACTATCACCAGAAATAGCGGCGATGCCACGTCCCCCGAATACCTCCGTTAGCAATGAGATAGACATGGCCGGATATTTGTGAGCTTAAGAGACAAGTACTCAAACATGCTGCACATCTGATGCGCTGGGATGGATGGATGGCCAATGCTATCAACAGCGATGATAGCATTGTGTATATTCATGTGCTGTGGTAAGAGGTCTTGGGGACTGTGGGGTTTAGAGGAAGTGTTGGATAAGCAGTACCTGCCGCTCGTTCTGCTATGGTCGGGGGATAATCCAGTGACCTTCCGGCCATCTCACCCAGGTCCGGGTAACCACTTTGCTGCAGGTTGTAGTTTCCTCCCATCATTTTGTTGTTCGTTTCTTGCCTGTGGTATATTGTGGACCACCACCGCCGTATCCATTAGCGGGTTGGAGAATGGTAAGGTGAATATCCATCAGCTCGATAGTGTGAGCTGTGGTTGCAGGAGAATAATTTGAGAGAAACTGTAGACTAGAGTGATTAGCCTGACGAAATCCGATGTTACTAAGGTAGCTGTTGTGGAGAGGGTGAAAGAGGAGGGGGTGAAGAGGGTTATTCCGTTGTCTCGTCAGGTCCATCTTGGAAGTGGGCTTCTATCATTAAGGATGAGATTTTCTCCCTATAAAATGTCAGCTATTGGTTTGAAAATGGTGTAATATTAGACACTTGGTACTTTGGGGGTACGCGGTTCCTGTTCTTCTTCCACAGAGAGAGATATTTCCTTAGTATAATGCTCGGCTAACCTCCCTTCTTCCATTTGGCTACAAGAGAGTTAATTTGAACTTCTGCTGCTGTATCAACACCCACTTGTTTACTATTGGGCGTTTTTGGCATTTATTATTACTTTCATACTTTTTGTAAGGCTGTGAAAAAAACTGAGATATGAAGAAATTGGTCTATCTTTATTCTATCTTATTCTCGGCTTGGTTGATTGAAGATGTGTGATTATTGTAGTACCAGGGCTACCGAGAGTATATTCCATGCAACAACGGTGTGATACTCCACCCTTTGAACCCTCTTCGTACCTCATCACGCAAGTGAGTGAGGAGCGATATCATACAGTATTAATTCAATTGGACCTCCCACTTGGTATGTTGAAATAAGGTGAGGTGGGGGAAATTATTTTAAAAATTCGTATAATTGGCTTATTTGTCTCCTTACAGGGACAAAAGTCAGGAAGGATTAGTGCATTCCCCAAGAGGTAAAGCCTGAGCTGAGTGTGCTGGATCTTATTAACTTTTAGGAGCAATTCCTGTAACCTGTTAAATTAAACTCACAACGGGTGGACCGGATATTAACCCCTGCTTCAGAGATGGCCAATTGCTTGAACCCCCGGTTTTTAGGTTAATCGACTTAAACTAAACGTGTCTTGAAATAGGAAGCTGCATCAACCTCTCCAGTTCCCAGACAGATGTTACGAGATAGATTGCCTGGTTCTCTTGGCACACCTCACTTTATTTTAACATACTAGTATGAGATACAATTGATCGGGTTAAGACGATACATGATTATCAAGCATCGGGCGGAACCTAACCAGTACCGTTCAGGAGGAAAATCTAGCAGAATAATTAATTATTATAATAAATCACTCGTGTCACTGATGACCGGTGTATCCAGCTCTCATTCCTCTACCAGTAGTGACCAACTCGAGGATCGAACACAATTATCCTGAACAGATCGTAGCAGATGTAAAATCTTTTGGTTAAGGTCACTTAGTATATGGGTATTTTATGTCCTCTGATTACTCATTCAGGGAACACGGGCTCCCGCACACAATATTTATCATACTGGCAGAAAAAAGCTATTTAGGCACATTTCTAGGCAAATATTGTAGTTTTAATACACTCTAAGAATGAGAAGGCTTCCGTGCTGTTGGATGGCAAATTCAATTTTCGAAGTTATACTTACTTCTCATTCTATGTTGTCATGCTTCTCCAACATAGATTGTGAATAGTAAATATCAATCAGTTATTAGTACTATTGACCTTTAATCTCAATAATAACTATAGCTCTCAAGATCCATTCTAGTAAGTAACTCAATACTAACTTCATTCATACTGCTATAATATCTGTTCTATCTTACCAGTCAAGTTGATTCCCAAACCAAGAGCAGACACCTTTAGCTAAGAAAGTCTCTTTACCTGAGAGATATACTATTAAGTAAGTGCTTATATTTCCATCTTCCTCACTAAGTTGTATTTTTTGTATGGAATATGAACTTTGCATTTTGGTCAGATCCTTTCAAGTATTAGTAACTTGAATAATCTTTTACAAAAAAGGTACTATATTAGAGGTTGATTATCTATATTATATAACTAGTGACAATATACAACTACTCCTACCTTACACTATACTAACATAAGCAACAACCCACTAAAGGATCCTACTCAGCCTTATGATACTAAGTATGAGTACCTAGATAGAGACTAGTAGGAGAAGTGCATGAAGTAGTTTAGAACATAAAAATTTTATATATAAAGTTATAAATATAATAGGAAAGAATAATAGATAGTTGTATGAGGAGCTATCCAATTAAGTCCAAATACCTTCCTTATATAG